AAGTGTGAAAAGATTTAAACAGAAATGAGGAGTAGGTGCGGTGGTGCAGCAGTTTAAGCCATCAGTTGGGACACACACGTCCCTTCTCAGGATGTCTGGGGTCGAGTTTTGCCTTTTATTTCTTCCTATCCAGCTCCTGCTAATGCGTCCTAGGAGGCAGCAGATGACAGCCCAAGTACTTGGGTCCCTGCCACCCGTGTGGGAGACCCAGTGGAGCTCCTGGCTCTGGGCTTCAGCCTGGCCAAGCCCTAGCTGTTGAAGGCATTTAGAGTGAACCAATAGGTGGAAGACTTCTCTCTCTCTCTCCCTCTCTCTCTCTCTCTGCCTCTCTGCCTTTCAAATAAATTCTAAAAAGAAAAAAAACTAAAGGAACATCATTACAATTGCTGTGTCAAAAATACAAAGGTTACAGGAGACCACTATGAACAACTACACAGCAACAAACTGGACAACCTGCAGGAAATGGATAAACTTCTAGAAATATATAACCTATCAAGACTGACTCATAAAGAAACAAAAAATAACATGCACAGATCTATAGCAAGTAAGGATATTAAAGCCATAATAAGTTTTTTAAAGATTTATTTATTTATTGCAAGTCAGAGTTACGCAGAGAGAGGAAAGACACAGAGAGAGAGAGAGAGGTCTTCCATCTGATGGTTTACTCCCCAAATGGCCACAACAGCCGGAGCTGCGCAGATCCGAAGCCAGGAGCCAGGGGCTTCCTCCGGGTCTCCCACATGGGTGCAGGGGCCCAAGGACTTGGGCCATCTTCTACTGCTTTCCCAGGCCATAGCAGAGAGCTGGATTGGAAGTGGAGCAGCCAGGACTAGAACCGGCGCCCATATGAGATGCTGATGCTTCAGGCCAGGGCGTTAACTCACTGCGCCACAGAGGCAGCCATAAGCCATAATAATTTTTAAAAACTCCCCTCCAAGAAAAAATATAGAAAAAGGTGATTTCACAGAAGAGTTATACCAAACACTTAAGATCCTTCCTGAACTCTTCCAAGGAACTAAAGAGGAGGAAATATTTCCAAATTAGTTCTATGCAATCAGCATTGTTCTGATTCCAAAACCAAACAAGACACAAAAAGAAGCTTACAGACCAGAATCTCTGATGAATATTGATGAAAAATCCTCAGCAAACTACTAGCAAACTGAGTTGCACAGTGTGTTAATGATTTACGCTGTGAGTTCAATGCAGGCTTATTCGTGGAAAGCAAGGATGGCTCAACACAAACTCAGGGAAGCACACCACAGTAACAGAATGCAGGCCAAACCCCAAGATGCAGAAAGAAACACTTGACAAAATCTGGTAGCCTTTCAGAATAACAGCACTCAACAGATGAAGAACAGAAGGAGCTACCGCAACATGATAAAAGTGATATACGAAGAGTCCACAGTGCACTCAACGGTGAGAGACTAAAAGCTGTTCCTCCCAAATAAAAAACAAGGCAAAGGCGCCCACCCTGGCCACTGTTATTCAATGTAGTCCTGAAGAACCATCCAGGGCAATGGGACGAGAAGAAGAAACAAATTGGAAAGGAAGGAGTAAAACTGTTTGCAGATGACAGGATCTAATAGGTGTAAAATAAAATCAAGACACAAAAATCAGGTGTATTTCTATTCAATAACAATAACCAATCTGAAAAGGACATTAGGAAAGCACTCCTGGGGCGGGGGTTGTGGCACACGGATCAAGCCGCCTCTCAGGATGCCCGCCTGTCGTCTCTGAGCACTGGCTCAAGTTCCGGCTCCACCGCTGGCGGCCCAGCATCTGCTGATGCCCCTGGGGAGGCCGAGGACGACTCGGGTCTGCCATCCTCACGGGGGCCCAGAGGGAGTCCCTGGCTCCTGACTTCGGTTTGGCTTATCCCCAGCTGTTGCAGGCAATTTGGGGAGTGATCAGATGGAAATGGGTGGAAGATCTCTCTCTCTGTCACTCAGCTTTTCAAGTAAATAGATAAATTAATGAATGAATTAATTAAACAAAATAAGTAAGCTTTAAAAAGAAAAGCAAAGAATACTATTTCTTTTAAAAAAAGATTTATTTATTTACTTGAAAGGCAGAGCTACACAGAGAGAGAAGAGGCAGAGAGAGAGAGAGAGGTCTTCCATTTGCTGGTTCACTCCCCAGTTGGCCGCGACAACCAGAGCTGTGCCGATCTGAAGCCAGGAGCCAGGAGCTTCTTCTGGGTCTCCCACATGGGTGCAGGGGCCCAGGGACTTAGACCATCTTCTGCTGCTTTCCCAGGCCATAGCAGAGAGCTGGATTGGTAGTGGAGCAGCCGGGACTCGAACCAGCGCCCATATGGGATGCTGGTGCTTCAGGCCAGGGCGTTAACCCGCTGCACCACAGTGCCGGCCCCAAGAATACTATTTTTGATTGCATCAAAAAGTATAAAATATTTAGAAATAATCTTAACTAAAGAGGTAAAAGACGAGCACACTGAGAACCACAAAACCTCCCTAAAAGAAATCACAGATGACACAAACAAATGGAAGACATCTCACACACGCGCATTGGAACACTTAATATTGTTAAAAAGTCCACGCTAACCAAAGCAATCTATAGATTCAATGCAACTCCTATCAAAATCCTAATTTTTTTTTAATAGAAAAAGAAATCCTAACATTCATATGGTATCTCCAAGGACTATACAGTCAATACAGTCTTGGAAAAGAAGAATTAAAATGGCAGGTATCACAGTCCTGTATTTAAGATGTATTTATTTGAAAGGCAAAGCCAGGAGCCATTGTTGCCAGTGAACCAGTGGATGGAAGATCTCTCTCTCTCTCTGCCTCTTTGCCTCTCCTCCTCTCTCTGTGTAACTCTGACTTCCAAATAAATGAATAAATCTTTAAAAAAACCAAAACAGCCAGTGCCATGGCTCACTAGGCTAATCCTCTGCCTGCGGCGCCGGCACACCAGGTTCTAGTCCTGGTCGGGGTGCTGGAGTCTGTCCCGGTTGCTGCTCTTCCAGTCCAGCTCTCTGCTGTGGCCCAGGAAGGCAGTGGAGGATGGCCCAGGTGCTTGGGCCCTGCACCCGCATGGGAGACCAGGAGAAGCACCTGGCTCCTGGCTTCGGATTGGCGCAGCGCAATGGGGGTGAACCAACAGAAAAGGAAGACCTTTCTCTCTCTCTCTCTCACTGTGTAACTCTGCCTGACAAAAAACAAAAACAACAACAACAACAACAACAACAACAAAAACCACACTACATAAGGGCTGGTGCTGTGGCATAGTGGATAAGGCCCCCTCCTGCAATACTGGCATCTCATATGGGCACCAGTTTGAGTCCCAGCTGCTCCACTTCCAATCTAGCCCCCTGCTAACATGCCTGGGAAAGCAGTAGAAGATGGCCCAAGTGCTTAGGTCCCTGCACCCACATGGGAGACCAGGAAGAAGCTCCTGGCTCTGGGCTTTCAATCGGCCCAGCTCTGCCCATTGCAGGTATTTGGGAAGTGAATCAGTGAATGGAAGACTTCTCTCTCTCTCTCTCTCTCTCTCTCTCTCCAGCTCTGTCTTTCAAGTAAATAAATAAATCTTAAAAAAAAAAAAAAAAAAAAAAAAAAAAAACACTACATAGCAACAGCAATCAAGGGACAGTGGTACTGCAGGAAATGAAGGAAGATGTACAGACCAATGCACAGGCCCAGAAATCAACCATCGCATCTACGGTGGCTGATCTTCAAGAGGCTTCGAGACTGCAATGGAAAAGGAGCGTCTCTTCCACAAACAGGTCAGGGAACTGGAGCCACAGACAAGGGAACGAAGCGGGGCCCTTTCCGTACAAAATTTACAGAAGTTAACTCAGAGTATATCAAAGACCTAAAAATAACACCTGAAACTATAAAGCTGTTTGAAGAAAATAGAAGGAAAATGTCCAGGACATTGGATTTAGCCAGTGTCGGTCGCAAGAGAGGCAACTCAAAACCTGAACAGGAAGCCATAACAGACAGAAACCTGAAGCTCAAAAAGTTCCATCTGGTCAACCTCACGACGCCGGATGAACGCAAGCCACAGCTACCACGGCCGGCGGGACCTCCGAGGCCATTTCATGTGATTATAAACACAAAGAATTTAACAAGGACCAAACAGGCAGCAAAGGAAGCCAAGGACTGCATCTTGACATTCTAAAAAGCACTGCAAAAACAAAAAAGCTCTAAAAAGTCATGAACCATAAATGCACAAAACTCTTACCTGATGACACACACAGCAGGAATCTGCTGGGGGCAGGCCATTGTGAATGAACACTCAACATATCTAAAAGAGGCCACAGATTCCTTTGAGTCTGAACGCTCGGGGGCCAGCACTGTGGCACAGTGAGCGAAGCTGTCCCTTGCCACACCAGCATCTCATCTAGGAGCACCAGTTTGAGTCCTGGCTGTTCTACTTCTGATCCAGCTTCCTCTGTGTGTGCCTGGGAAGCCAGGGGAAGACAGCCCAAATACTTGGGCTTCTCCCACCCACATGGGACACCCAGCTGGAATTCCTGGCTCCTGGTTTTGGCTTGGCCTAGCCCCAGCCATTGCAGCCACTTGAGGAATGAATCATTGGATGGAAGATCTTTTTCTCCCTCTCTCTATCACTGTGCCTTTCAAACAAAGAAAATAAAACTTAAGATAAATTTTTAAAAAGTATAAGCTTAATCAGGTTTCACAGGTAAAAATGTAAGGTCACTGTGACAATCTGACTTTCGGGATGGATGTGAGAATAGAAAATTCATTGTTACCCAGGCTATACGCCCAGATGCTTTCTCAAAAGAGAAGCTTAAGAGAAAATATGAACTATACACTGTGCTTCGAGCCAATGTGATTTCAAAGGCAACAATGCTTAAACCTAGAACCAGAAGTTTATAGTCTCCAGCAAGGCAACACGCCCCACGTAGGGCTTCCGCAAGCTGTCGCTCGGATGAGAGCTGCGAGGTGTCACACACAAAGGGATCCCAAGGGGCTCGTGGGCGGACTTCACTGGGGGCTCTCTCCTGGGCCTACCTTTTGGTTGCCGGCACAGCGGGTTCTCTCCTGGCCCCCGAGGGGGACGGCAAAGAGCCACTGGGTTTCTTTGGTAACACGGTGCCATTGTTGACTGTGGTTCTCAGAGGCAGGGTCTGCGCCAGGGGTCTCGCTGCAAGACAAGCAGAAAACAGCATCAGGACACTCCCCTTGGCGAAGGCTGACATGGCCACTGTCCGGAAGGAGACAGGCGCCAGCTTGAAACGGACGCAGGACACAGGCAGTTCACGGCGAGAGGGTTCCCTGCTCAACCAACCGTGTGGCTTGGCAGGGGAAGCCGCTGCTTGCCACGCCCGCATCCCATATTGGAAGAGTCTGGGACCAAGATGCGCCTCCTCGTCCTGATGCAGCGTGCTGCTAACGCACACCCTGGGAGGCAGCAGGTGCCGGCCCCTATGGGAGGCCACGTATGCTCCTGGCTCCTGGATTTGGCCTGGCCCAGCCTTGCCTATGGGCGGGCATTAGGGGAGTGAACCAGCAGAGGGAAGATATTTCTCGCGCGCATACTCTTTCTTTTTCAAATAAATACATTTTTTGTCAAAAGAAAATTGCATTTCATTGAACATGTAATCGTCCATATTTTTAAAAAATAATTAACTCAAAATGGATCACAGACCTAAGGGAAAAACCGTAAAACTTTCAGAAGAAAACATCCTTGGGTTTGGTGATGGATTTTCAGATATAATGAAATTTTTAAAAAATGTTAACAGTTTAGACTTCATTACAATTTTCTTTTTCTTAAAGATTTATTTTATTTATTTGAAAGACAGAGTGAGGCAGAGACAGAGAGAGAGGTCTTCCATCTGCTGGTTCACTCCTCAGATGGCTGCAATGGCCAGAGCTGTGCTGATCCAAAGCCAGGAGCCAGGAGCTTCTTCTGGGTCTCCCAAGTGGGTGCAGGGGCCCAAGGACTTGGGCCATCTTCCACTGTTTTCCCAGGCCAGAGCAGAGAGCTGGATCAGAAGAGGAACAGCCAGGACATAAACCGGCGCCCATATGGGACGCTGGGACTGCAGGCCAGGGCTTTAACCCACTGCGCCACAGCCCCGGCCCCTAAAATTTTCAAAAATCTGTGAAAGACATTTAGGGAGATGAAAATGCAAGTCATGGATGGAGAGGAAATATTTGTAAATCCCATCTCTGATGTAGGACTTGTATACAGACTATAAAAAGAACTCTTAAAATATAATCGTGGGACCGGTGCTGTGGTGTAGCGGGTAAAGCCGCCGCCTACAGTGCCAGCATCCCGTATGGGCACTGGTTCAAGATCCGGCTGCTCCACTTTTGATGTAGGAGACCCAGAGGAGGCTCCTGGCTCCTGGCTTTGGATCGGCACAACTCTGGCTGTTGCGGCCAATTGGGGAGTGAACCAGTGGATGGAAGACCTCTCTCTTTCTCTCCCTCTCTGCCTCTACTTCTCTCTGTGTAACTCTGCCTTTCAAATAAATAAATAAATCTTTTTTAAAAAATTTATTTGACAGGTAGAGTTATAGACAGTGAGAGAGAGAGATAGAGAGAAAGGTCTTCCTTCCACTGGTTCACTCCCCAAATGGCTGCTACAGCCGGTGCTGCGCTGATCCGAAGCCAGGAGCCAGGTGCTCATCCTGGTCTCCCATGTGGGTGCAGGGCCCAAGCACTTGGGCCATCCTCCACTGCTCTCCTGGGCCACAGCAGAGAGCTGGACTGGAAGAGGAGCAACTGGGACTAGAACCCGGCAACCATATGGGATGCTGGCGCCACAGGTGGAGGATTAACCAAGTGAGCCATGGCGCTGGCCCCCAAATAAATAAATCTTTAAAAGAAAATACAATCGTATGGGGCTGGCACTGTGGCATAGCAGGTAAAGCTGCTGCCTGCAGGGCCGGTATCCCATATGGGTACCAGTTTGAGTCCTGGCTGCTCCACTTCCAATCCAGCTCTCTGCTACAGCCTGGGAAAGCAGTAGAAGATAGCCCAAGTCCTGTTGCAGCCATCTAGGGAGTGAACCAGTGGATGGAAGACTCTCTCTCTTTTTCTGCATCTCCTTCTCTCTCTGTGTAACTCTTTCAAATAAATACATAAAATCTAAAAAATAAAAAATAAAAAGGAAAGAAAATAAATACAGATATAAAATATATACACATATATGTGTGTGTGTGTATATAAAATTGTAAATAACCAAAGGGCCCAATATTTCAAGTGAGGAAAAGATCTGAAAAGTTGCCTCACCAAAAACCACAAGCAAATGGCCAATAAACATATGAAAAGATGCAATCACTTGTCATTAGGGTAATGCAAATTAAAATATTAATTAGACACCTCTCTCTAGCTTTTAGAATGGCTAAAATCCAAAAAACAGACAAAATGCCGACTGCTGGCCAGGATCCGAGCCCCAGGGGCTCTCACGCACAAGCCACTGAACACAGTCTCTCCGTGCGATCCAGGAATCGTGCTGACACCAGGTGTCTGCCCAGCTGACCTGAACGTGTGCTTCTAACCAGCCCTGACATATTACAACAGCCTCATTCTTCTGTTTTTTTTGTTGTTGTTGTTGTTTTAGAACTTATTTATTTATTTATTTGAAAGGCATAGTTACAGAGAGAGAGGAGAGACAGAGCTCTTCTATCTGCTGGTTCACTCCCCAAATGGCCACAATGGTCAGGGCTGGGCCAGGCTGAAGCCAGGAGCCTGGAGCTTCTTCCAGATTTCCCACATGGGTGCAGGGTTCCAAGCACTTGGGCCATACTCTGTTGCTTTTCCCAGGCCATTAGCAGCGAGCTGGATCAGAAGTGGAGCAGCCGGGACTGGAACTGGCACCCAAGTGGATGCCGGCACTGCAGGTGGCAGCTTTACCTGTTACGCCAGAGCCCTGGCCCAGCAGCCTCATCCGTAACTCTCCAGACCTGGACGCAGCCACAGTGCCCTTCCACAGGTGAACGGGCAAACAAAATCCACCCAGGAGATGAACACATCACAGGCGTGAAAGGGAAGAACCAATGCAGGCTCCATGGAGGCACCCGGCCAGGCGCAAGCAGCGAGTCTGAAGGCTGCCTGAAGGCTCAGGACATCCCTGAACAACACGGGTCAGGGGTTGCCAGGGGTCAGGAGAGGCAGTGTCGAGGGTAGAGACGCCCTGAGCGACACTGGGCACAGCTCAAACCCTCATAGCACCAGCAGTGAACCCCAACAGATGCAAGTGGACACCGGCCCAGAGATGGGGGCCCCGTGGCAGGAGGCAGATTGTGAGGGAAGAATCTAACTGCACCGCAGGTATGTGCCATGACCTTGTCGAGGGGCATGACTGAGGGGTGGGAGGCGCTGACCCGGGCAATTCTGGAAATGAGCAGAGCCTGCAAGACTACAGACAGGGGAAGTGCAGACCACGGCCCTCCAGCTGGAAGAGTGCTTCCTGAGGCACGGGTGATGGCCCTGGAACGGACACGAGCGAGCGCAGGCACGGAGGGTAGGAGCCGGGCTGCTCCCTGATGAGCAAGTGGGACCAGGGAGCCCCGTGGCCCCGGTTAAAGGGGGCGCAGTGTGAACTCACGCTTACCTTACTACAGATGCAGACTGTAATTATCAATGTGCATCATGCACAGGTCAGCATAAACACACACGCGGGGCTCCAAAAAGTTCACGGAAAATGGAATTACCGGGCACTCTCACCATCACCGCCACCCCAACTAAACACCGAAGCCACTCATGATCTCAGACCAGGCTTCTTCCACCAAAAAAACACATCAGCCACTCAAAGAAGAAAAGCTGCAGCCTAAGGAGGCCCAGGGTGGGCAAAGCACCCACAGCGGGAGCAAGCATGGGCTGGGCCGGCGGGACAGCCAGAGACAGGAGCGGCTATTGGTCACTGCGCACAGCGGCTGGAGGCTGGGAGAGAAGCAGCCCCAGGCTGGGGCAAACACGAGTTCCTGCAATGAGCCCCTGGCTTCCAGGGAGGCTAATCTGTGGCACCTTCCTCTGGTTCATAAACCAGTGGTGTTACTTTCTCAACACTTTAACTGTTCTAGAGGTGAACACAGCAGCACAGTACCAAAAGGAGAATTTCTCCGGTAAAGGGAGAAGGATAAATGCCGAGGTATGGATGCACTCAGGGCAGGGCTGCAATCGGAAGCCTCAAGGGGCTGAGTGCCTTCTCCACGCAGCTCACTCACAAGCCTGGCCAAGCCCCGCCCCTCCCACGCCCAGCTTCCTGGTGACATCAGGACGCCAGTGCCCACCTGCAGGCTGCTGTGGGCCGTAGTGGTCGGGAGGGGGACGTTCCTAGTAGAACGCCTGGCACCCTGTACCTACCACAGCTACACCAGAAGATGAAAGGCTCTATCCGCTTGGCCCTCAGGGTAAAATCGAAAATCCCAAACACAACACAAGAAGAATGAAATGCAGTGATGTTTAAGTTGTGGCCGAGGATCTGAGGCAGAATCCGACTCAGTGAGGCACAGGAAGCAGACTGTACACAGGATGCTCCCGGGTAGGTCTCACCCTGCACACACACAGGGACAGTGACAGTGACAGCAAGAGCCGAGCAGGTCTCTGTCTCTCTCTGTCTCTCTCTCTGTCTCTCTGTCTCTCTCTCTCTCTCTCTCACACACACACACACACACACACACTAATACACAGTGACAGTGAGGTCCTGGAGAGGTCTTACCCTGTGCATGCACGCACACACACACACACACACACACACACACACACACAAACGGTGACAGTGACAGCGAGGACCCGGGCAGGTCTCATCCAGACAGCAGACATCTCTCACTCTTCTGTCCAGGCCAGCGGTGACTACAAGTCACACAGTCACCATTTCTTAACTGCCGGGCTTGGTCTGACCAACACTAATTCAAGGCCCGTGGCGAGGAGGCGAGGGCAGAAAGGTTCCACCCGTGTCCATCTCCTGCAGGCTGTCCTTCACCTGCCAATCAGGCACTCAGCGGGGACGTGAGTGGGCACCCACCGTAGCCACCGCAAGGCTCAGCCCTGAACCAGCCATTCGATGGCGGCCACAAGTTCCGCTCTGAACATCAGTCTGCTGTGGAACACGGGGCCCGTGGTCTGCTGTTGACGGTGACTGCAGGGGCTAACCCCGAGGCCAAGGGCCCCAGACCTGGGCACGGCAGGGCTGACTTGCCTGCCCGCCTCTCCAACAGGAGCTTTGGGATACATGACTAATTATCTGCTCTATTAATGAATGAGGCTATTAATTAATTAACACAACTCCTTGACATATGAACCAAGGGATCCACTAGTTGACATAATTGATCTCAAAGTTTGCAAAAGGGAATATTAAACAATTTAAAAAGCCAACATGCCTAACAACCTGAAGAAACACGCAACATTTAAAATGAGAAATATGGGGGCCGGTGCTGTGGCATAGTGGGTAAAGCTGCCGCCTGCAGTGCTGGCATCCCATATGGGCACCAGTTCAAGTCCCAGCTGCTCCACTTCTAAACCAGTTCTCTGCTACAGCCTGGAAAAGCAGTGGAAGATGCCCAAGTTCTTGGGCCCCTGCAGCCACATGGGAGACCTGGAAGAAGCTCCTGGCTCCTGGCTTCGGATCAGCCCAGCTCCGGCAGTTGCAGCCTTCTGGGGAGTGAACCAGCGAATGGAAGACCTCTCTCTCTGCTTCTCTGTAACTCTGCCTTTCAAATAAATAAATCTTTTTAAAAATGAGAACTATGAAGGACTCGCTGGTTAACAGGCAACGAAACATATAATCCACATCTGGGGAGCCAGAGCCGTATTTTAATTGACGCTGCACTAACGTCCCAGCACTGGAATGAGAATCAACTGTGCAAGTGCACAGTGGGTCTGTCGGCAACCAAACGCCGAGTGCCAGCCCTGGTCTTCTCGGCAACGCAGCCCGCAAGCCAGCCCCGACGCCGCTGTCGCCCTCGTTGGTGAGAAACGGCGGCTTTAAAAGCTCAGGTCTGCTGCCTAGGAAGCAATGCACAGCACAGAATGGCTAGAAGCCACCAGAAAGCACGGAGGAGACGCAACTCTCAGAAGGAGAAGCGCTGACCGCTTCCGGTGCGCGCAGCTCAGCCTCCTCCGCACGTGCTGCAGAACCGCGGGCTCACGCTCGGCCTGGCCCAGGGACGCACGGGCCTTCTCCCCTCGTCAGCACCGACACAGACACCCTCATGTTACTAGGATGCTAAGAACATATGATAAGACACTCACATCCCATATCAAAGTGCCTGGGCCTGAGTCCTGGCTCCACGCCCAATTCCAGCTTCCTGCTAACGCGCTCCCTGCGAGGCAGCAGTGATGGCTCAAGTGGTGGGGCTCCTGCCACCCACGTGGGAGACCCACAGTGAGTTCTTTATTTTTATTTTTATTTTTATTTTATTTTTTTTGACAGGCAGAGTGGACAGTGAGAGAGAGAGACAGAGAGAAAGGTCTTCCTTTGCCGTTGGTTCACCCTCCAATGGCCGCCATGGCCGGCGCGCTGTGGCCGGCGCACCGTGCTGATCCGATGGCAGGAGCCAGGTGCTTCTCCTGGTCTCCCATGGGGTGCAGGGCCCAAGCACTTGGGCCATCCTCCACTGCACTCCCTGGCCATAGCAGAGAACTGGCCTGGAAGAGGCCACAGTGAGTTCTGACTCCCAGCTCCAGCCTGGCCCAGCCCCAGCTATGTGGGCATTTGGGGAATGAGGCATGGGCGAGAGGAGTCTTGCTTTCTCTTTCTCTCTTCCTTTCCTCTCTCCCTCTTTTCCTTTCAAATAAATAAAATAGTTACAATAAAACTATATCTCCATAAACTGTGTGACTCCCTCTTTTCCACTAGGTGCTAATCCCTGCTTGGCGGTCATGAAATTTTCCAGATCTTTCTACCTGAGAGCTGGTCCATCCAGAACCAGCTGACTGCAGGCTGCGGCTGTCTCCAAGTGAAGCAGGGTAGCCTGGCAACCAGGGCTAATGCTTTAAAAATCAGGGAGAAGAATAGGAAAAGCACACTTTGGGGAGCTTACGCGGAACCTGAGCAAATCCCAAAGCCCAGGGCTGCGCCCCCCAGGTAAAGAGGATCCAGTGGGGGCCGGCGCTGCAGCGTAGCAGGTAAAGCCACCACCTGCAGTGCCGTCATTCCATATGGGTGCTTGTTCGAGTCTCAGCTGCTCCACTTCCAATCTAGCTCCCTGCTATGGCCTGGGAAAGCAGTAGAAGATGGCCCAAGTCCTTGGGCCCCTGCACCCACGTGGGAGACCCGGAGGAAGCTCCTGGCACCTGGCTTCGGATTGGCACAGTTCCGGCTGCTGCAGCCAGTTGGGGAGTGAACCAGAGGATGGAAGCGCTCTCTCTCTCTCGCTCTCTCTCTCTCTCTCTGCCTCTCCTTCTTTCTTTGTGTAACTCTGACTATCAAATAAATAAATAAATCTTTAAAAAATAGCAAAGAGGAGCTGGCAGTCAGGACAGGCACAGCCTCTCTTCACGTCCACAGGGGCTGGACCGGGAAGGGGCTGGCCAACTGTCCCCATCTCAGGAGCCTTGAGCTGGGGACCAGCGAGTCATTTCCGTGAATCTACAATTCTCATTGCTATGCTAGTTAAGTCATACAAGCATTGATAAGGTGAATCAAGTCTTGGAAGTTGTGAGAACTTTCTGGAAATGAGCCGAGTGCTGTCGTGGACAGGAGTTAGGGTCACTACCTGGGGCCTGATGGTAACCATGGGACAGCCACGTGCCCAGATGGCACCCACCGCCGGCATGGCCCTGGGTGAGCCCCGTCCAGCACGTGAAGGCAGCATGCTTGTCAATGGCATAGCCATCACTGTCGCTGGGCAGACAGCACAGGGGTGTGCACCCAAAGCTCTAAACCCTGAGCCCTGAGCTCCGACAACTAACCTTGGGGTGGGGTATGGGTGGGGGGATCGCTTAATACTTACGAAGTAGAATACCACATGTCCCGTCTACTGCAGATCTATATCAGGACGACAAGCTTAAACAGTGAGAAGAGTCGGGACGGCCACTGTCTAAAAATACAGGACTTTTAAAAGGCGGAGGCTTTATATAAAGCAACTACTTCAAATAAACCATTTAGGGTACAGGAGTCATCAGATTTATTTTTGGAAATCTGAGTAGGTCAAGAATACCTAAAATAATCTGGCTTCTATTTAAATAGCCTAATCACTTTAGAACTTAAAAGGAGAAAAATGATTACTTGAAGGGATTACTCAAAATATAGACATCAGCCCGGCGTGTGTATCTCACACGGGGCTGGTGATAACCATAAGAAACAGATTTCTGACCACAGATGTGTGAAAATGCAGCCAGAGCCAGAGAGAAAACGAAAAGACGTCTCCCGCTCCAAGGAAAATACAGTAACTGTGAGACAATTTCTTAAATCCAAACAACAAAAAAGGTGTTTGGTTTTTTTTTTTAAATTTTATTTGAAAGGCAGAGACAGAGGAAGCCGACAGAGAGAGAGATGTCCCATCCACAATTCACTCTCTAAAGGCCCACGCCGGCTGGAGCTGCGCCAGGCTGAAGCCAGGAGCTGCAGACTCCACCCACATCTCCCAGCGGGGAGCCCTTGCCCGCTGCCTCACAGGTGCAGGAGCCGAGCGCTGGGGTCAGGAGTGCAGCTGGATGCAAGCAGGCTTTCCATCGAGGGGCGCAGGTGTCTTCACTGTCCCTCCAGGCACCTGCACCAGGGAGGCGCCTGCAGAGGGACACTGACATGAACACATTTCAACCCAAGGGACATCACGGCGAGAGGAGAGGGACAGAGGTGAAGACGAGGAAGGCTCACCAGGTCCACTGGACATCAGCGACTAACTAGCGGGAAAGAAACTTTTCAAAAAAGATTGACTGATTTGCTTGAAAAGCAGAGTTACAGAGAAGGAGGGAGAAAGAGAGAGAAGGAGAGACCTATCCACCGGTTCACTCCCCAAATGGCCACAACAGCTGGGGCTGGGCCAGGCGGAAGCCAGGAGCCAGGAGCTCCATTCCAGTCTCCCACATGGGTAGCAGGAGCCCAAGGACGTGGGCCACCTTCGGCTGCTTTCCCAGGCCCGTTAGCAGGGAGCTGGATCGGAAGTGGGGCAGGTGGGACTCGAACTTCCGCTCACATGGCATTATCAAGTGTCACAGGCAGCGCTTAACCCACTGCAGAGCCAGCCCCAAGGGAGAGAAACTTCACAAGGGTTTTATTTCCAAATCTGAAGCACAGGGTCACCACCAAGTGACTGAACTCAAATGCTGCTTCCTTTCGTCTCACTCCCAGGAGCCACGGGGCCTAAATGTCGACATCTGTTTGCCAGAGACCCCGAGGGGCAGACCCTGTGGGTGGTGTCCTCGTGAAAGCAGAGGGTGTTGCCCAGGAGGCGCCGGCCGGCTGGAGGGGGCGAACGTGAGGGAGACCTCGGGGATTCTGAGCTCCTCACAGCGGGGGCCCCTCTGTGCCCCCAGTCCCGGCTCTGAGCCTGACGCCGGCCACGCTGAACTGAATGGCAACACCAGCTGAGGACCTTCCCAGGTGGAACAGACCCCCACAGGGGCTCTCTCCACCCACAGGGAGTCTTTTAAAAACGTATTTCAAAGACAGAGAGAGGAAACGTCTTCCACTGGCTCACTCCCCGGATGCCTGCCACAGCTACAGCTGGGTCAGGCCAAGGCCGGGGGCTGGGAACTCCATCCAGGTGCCGCATGTGGGTGGCGCGCACCCAGCTCCCTGAGCCGTGACCTGCTGCCTCCCAGGGTGTGTGTCAGCAGGAAGCTGGGAGCGGCCGCAGAGCTGGGATCTGAACCCATGTGCTTCCAGATGGGGTGCCGGCATCCTAAGTGGTGTCTTACCTGCTGTGCCAAACGGCTGTCGCCACCCCAGGGAATCCTGATGGACGCTGGTTCTCAACGGGCCATGGCACAGTTCCCGACTCACCTGAGGGTCACCCACACAGGCTCACCAACGTCACACCACAAACATGGTCACACACGGGGCGACCACACTGTCAGCGCCGAGACTGCTCTTTGTGATTCTAACTCTGGGTTTTTCCATCAACGCGCCGCTAGCACTGGCACGGCCGGCCACAGAGCGGCCCCGCGGCTGTCCCCGCGCCCGCGGCCCGCCTACCTTTGGTGGGTCCTTTCCTGTTGAGCACGGCCTGCTGCTCCTCGGTGATGTTCAGCCGCCGCACCACGTCGGCCAGCGCCGACTTGAGAAGCTGGATGTCGTCCTCCTGCATCTGCACCCGCTGCTCCAGGGAGGCGATGCGGTCGGTCACCTCCATGCTGCTGGCCGCCGAGGCGCTGTCATCTAGGGCAGAGGAGAGGCTCCGGTGAGGGTGGGGCTCCCGGGAGACGCGGCTGCCACACAGGAGGCGGGAGAACCCTGCTTCTCCGTGGGCTTCCCAGTGGCTACGCCTGTGCTTCTCAGTTTTAAACGGCAGCTCTGGCTGCCACTGTATCTTTCTACATGCAAGCCAACTTGTTTTCCCTCCCATGATAGTAGAGAGCCTCCATGTAGCAGAGACGCGAGAGTGTGTCTACAGTGCAGAAACCCCACCTGTGAATGAGGGTGGACTCACAACGCTAGGGCCGCCGAGGTCGTGGCACTGTGCATGGCCGAGCGGTGGCAGTCGTACGTTTCTACACGGAACCCTAATTCCCTGTCTTCATTAGAGCCCACTAGGCTCCCTGGCTCTCGCTCCCTGTCCAACCTCGCTTCCCGCTGTCCCGCCTTCCTGCCAGGCTCCAGCCCCACCGGCCTCCTCTGCCTCAAACACTTCTCAGCCGGTGTTTGCAGGCATCAGATGCTGCTGCTGCTGCTTCGGGACAGGCAGTATTAGAGAGAGAGAGAGAGAGAGAGAGAAAGGTCTTCCTTTTTCTGTTGGTTCACCCCCCAAGTGGCCGCTATGGCCGGCGTGCTGTGGCGATCCCAAGCCAGGAGCCAGGTGCTTCTCCTGGTCTCCCATGCAGGTGCAGGGTCCTAGGACCTGGGCCATCCTCCACTGCACTCCCTGGCCACAGCAGAGAGCTGGACAGGAAGAGGAGCAACCGGGACAGAATCCAGCGCCCCAACCGGGACTAGAACCCGGGGTGCCAGCACCACAGGCAGAGGATTAGCCTAGTGAGCCGTGGCGCCGGCCTAGAGTTCTTTATCTAAACCATTTGCTATCCCAACAACCATATTTCACCACCACTGCCTCGTTGGCCGACAACCTCTCCCGACTGTCCCGCTGCTCCCCGCCCCGAGCAGACAAGGATGCAGTCTTGCCTCACACACATCGTGGGCGTGGTTCTGGACCAACACAACGAAGTTTCCCACTGCGTACAAAAGTTATGTTTGCATTACATTGTGTAGCCTATCGGGGATGCAACAGCATTAGGTCTAAACTGCAACGGACATGCCTTGATGTAAAACCCAAGCCTTCGGCACGTGCTCCTGGAAAAATGGCACCGAAGGACTTCCTCCACACAAGGCTGCACAAACCTGCAGTTTGTACAAAACGCAGCGTCTGCGAAACCCAACAACAAAGCACAGGGAACAAAGTTGTGCCTGTTGTGCAGAGCACAGCCACCAGGAGGTGCTGTGAACTCCGGTGAGGAGCTCCTGTGCACCTGCAGGGGGCAGGCAGGGAACCAGACAGGTGAACTCCCTTTCCGTGGCTTCTGTCCTGGGGCCAGGCGCCGTGTGCGGAGCTGGAGAGGGCACACGTGGGAGAACGCCGGGCCCCGGAGTCTCTGCAACTCAGCATCCAGTGTCCCGGCAGAGCTCGGAAGAATCCTCTGTGCCAGAAACAAGACGCGGGACACAGTGCAAAAGGAAGGAAGAGAAACTGAGCCCAGCTCCAGAACGGACAAAATACTGGAACCGACAAAGAACCTAAGACAGCACGAGGATACGGGTCCTCTGTGACTGAGAATTTCAGAGAAATGAATAAAAACCAAATGAAAATTTTGGAACTAAAAAATACAACTTCTAAAAAAAAAAAAACAACAACACCTCACTGGAAGGGTTTCACAGCTGAATGGACCCAAAAGAGGAAGACGAGGTACAGCTGGAAGCCTGTCAATAAAACAGCCACGCCCAAGGACCTGGGAAAAGACGTCTCACGAGAACCCGGCAGAGCCCTGGGGATTCGCTGATGACGTCAGCCGGTCCAGCACAAGTTAACCGTCATACGAGAAGGAAAAGAGCGAGAGAACAGGGCAGAAAAAAATAAAAAACTAATGACTTAAGGACCCCAAATTGGAGTGATAGAAATGTATAATTAAAATGTAACTGAAGGCCGGCGCCGCGGCTCACTAGGCTAATCCTCCGCCTAGCGGCGCCGGCACACCGGGTACTAGTCCTGGTCGGGGCACCGGATTCTGTCCCGGTTGCCCCTCTTCCAGGCCAGCTCTCTGCTGTGGCCAGGGAGTGCAGTGGAGGATGGCCCAGGTGCTTGGGCCCTGCACCCCTTGGGAGACCAGGAGAAGCACCTGGCTCCTGGCTCCTGCCTTTGGATAGGCGCAGTGTGCCGGCCACGGCAGCCATTGGAGGGTGAACCAATGGCAAAAGGAAGACCTTTCTCTCTGTCTCCCTCTCCCTCTCTCTCTCACTGTCCACTCTGCCTGTCAAAAAAAAAAAAATGTAACTGAGCCCACCCCAAGGTATATCATAGTAGGACACAGATGTGTGGCACAGTAGGCTAAGCTGCCACTTGGGAGACCCAGATGGAGTCCCTGGCCCAACCCTTGCTGTTGTGGGTATGTGGGGAATGAACCAGTGGATGGGAGGTGGCTCTCTCTCTCTCTCTCTCTCTCCCTCACTCTCTTTCTGTCTCTCCATCTGCCACTGTGCTTTTCAAATAAATCTTTTTAGAAACCCACTCGAGACTACAATACAATAGTTATCATGCCCAATAGATTGCGCGTAAGTGGCTATTATTTTTTTTGAAGTTTTTGTCCTTTTTTACTTTTTATTAATATAAAGTGAAGAGAGTTCATGCATTCCACAGGTGCAGTTCCAAGAAAACAACCACACTTCTCTCCCTCCACCCTCCCCCCAAACTCCCTCCCTCCCTCTCTCTCTTCCTTTTACCAGTTTTTGCAAAGACACAGTTTTAATCCACTCCACGTTCACAGGCTTAATCCACCACCAACCCTAATACTGAACCAGTGAGAGGAGAGGAGTCTGTGTTACACTGGAAGCTTGCTACACTTGACTTCAGATGAGCTACCCACCTGCCGGTTCTACCCTGTGTGCATTACACGGTGTTCCTTTGGGCACGACAGTTCACGTCTCTGGGACTTACAAGTGGTTATTATCAACTGGAAGTGGTTAATGGTACTGTAAATGAAAAAGTTACAGATGTGGATTGTAATCCTCGATAAACGACTGTAGCTAAAATTCCAGTGAAATCCTATCGTGAAATAACCCATAAGAAGAAAGGAAATAAGGAATTGAAATACAAAAAGGAGACAAGAAAAAAAAAATAAAATGGTACCCAGCCCAGCGATAATTACCTTAAATGTTACATTAAAGCAGTAATTGTATTAAATACACCAACAAGAAGGCAGAGAATGTAGAATAAAAATAATTTTTGATGATTCACTGATTTATTTGAAGCGTAGAGTTAGAGAGAGAGAGGGACAGATGGAGAGAACAATCTTCCTTCCGATGGTTCACTCCCCAGATGGCCACAATGGCCGGGGCTGGGCCAGGATTCAGGAGCTTCTTCGGGTCTCCCACGTGGGTGCAGGGGCCCAAGCACGTGGCCCATCTTCTACTGCTCTCCCAGGTGCATTAGCGGGGAGCTGGATGGGACATGCACTGGCGCCCATGAGGGATGCCAGCATCACAGGCAGCAGCTTAACCTGCTACTCCTCAGTGCCCTGAATAAAAACAGCTTTCAACAAGACCCCATTAAACGGGGGCATTGTGCACAGGGTTCAGTTGCCATTTGGGATGCCCACATTCTATTTTGGAGTCCTGGCTACTCTGCTTCCAATCCGGCTCCCTGATAAGTGCCCGGGAAGCAGCAGGTGCTGGCTCCAGTACTTGAGTGCCAGCACCGCCCCCCCCACCCCCCCACACACCGTGTGGGAGACCTGGATGGAGCTCCTGGCCTCTGGCTTCAGCCTGGCCAGCCCTGGTTGTGGCAGCATCTGGGGAATGAACCAGTGGATGCAAGGGCTTTCTCTCTCTGTCATTCTGCCTATCGCATAATTAATTTTTTTAAAAAAGACCTAACTACACACTATTTACAAGAGGAAGACTTTAAATACAAAGAATAGATAGGTTGAAGGTAAATGAAGGGAAAAACATATACCACGCAAATAGGAAGCGTAAGAGGCAGGTGCACCAATATTAGTATCAGATAAAAATAAATGTCAAATAAAATGTATTACTAGAGACGGGGGGTCATTTAATAATGAAAAAACCATAAATTATCAGGAAGACCTGGCAATCACAAGCATGTATGTGCCTGATACTAGAGCTTCAGAACACATGAAGCATGGGGCCAGCACTGTGGCACTGCGGGTAAGGCCGCTGCCTGCGGTGCCGGCATTCCACACGGGCGCCGGTTCAAGTTCCAGCTGCTCCTCTTCTGATCCAGCTCTCTGCTGTGGCCTGGGAAAGCAGCAGAAGATGGTCCAAGTGCTGAGCCCCTGCACCCACGTGGGAGACCTGGAAGAAGCTCCTGGCTCCTGGCTTCAGATCAGCCCAGCTCCAGCGGTTGTGGTCATCAGGGAATGAGTCAGTGGATGGAAGGCCTCTCTCTGTGTGTGTCTCTACCTCTCTGTAACTCTGACTTTCAAATAAATAAATAATACTTTAAAACAATCAGTATGGACACAGAAGATTTGCACAACACAATAAACCACCTTGACTTAGTTGTTCTGCATTAAAACAAAAACAAAAACAAAAACAAAAAAAAACTACAGAACAGTCCACATGGTACATTTACTTGGATGCAGGATATTCTGGCCATAAAACAGATATGAATACATTTAACGATTAAAAAAGTATGTGCTCAGACCACAACAGTATTAAAGTAGAAATAAAAAATAAGATAACCAGAACAGCCAGAAATGTTTGGTAATTAACCAGCACTCTTCTAAACAATCATTAAGTCAATGAAGACATCACAGGAGACATCAGAAAAATACTTCTCATTGAATGACTATGAAAACTTATCACACCAAAATGCACGACATGCAGTCAAAGAAACACTTTGAGGAAAATTAATAGCTTTAAAAAATCTACATGTTAGAAAAAGAGAAAAGCTGGTTTTTGAAAAAGATCACTCAAGCCCCATAAAGCAGCAACCATTCCACCGCTCGCCCCTCAGAATGTAACAGGAG